ATGAACCAGGTGGGATTGCTTAACTTGTTTTTGTTTCTCTTATATATTTTATATTTTTCAAGGCACTCTTAAAAAGGCATGCTTCAGTCTAGGATGCTTCTTCAGACTATCATTGTGCACACTGTTCAATTATACAAGAGTCAGGAGATAAATCCAGAGTCCGATTCAGGAGAAATGTGATTGACGGTTGTCATTATATATTCACATAACTATAAAACAGAATAATCTTTGATGAATTTTGAAGTGTAAAATCTGAAAAACGCACTCACAAAACGGCAGCTATAATAAATACAAAGTGGCCTTTGCCTGTTATTATGTTTCTAGTCTGTAGATTTCTTCACTGCTTGTTTCCATTTCCAGTTCTTACCTGCTGCTGCTTTGACTCTCCTTGCCAAATGGCTGGATTTGAAGTTGAGGAGTGGAGCTGCTGCTGCTGCCTTGTTAGTGGATGATATTGGTTTGGCCTGCATCACTGGCACTTGTTTCTTGCAGGGTCTCGGTTCTTTGGACGACGATGACCCTAACATCCTCCTGGCCATCCAGCTGTCGCTCCAGGACTCAGCGATGGCAGAGATCGCATACAACCATGACGCACTCGCCAACGAAGCCTCGCTCGGCGCCATCGGCACCTCTCTGCCCTCCAGGCTGGAGCAGAGTGCTGCAGGTGTGGAGCTGCTGTCCAGAGCTTCTCTAAGCAGCTCCGAGCTGCTGGAGCTTGAAGATAACTTGGCCCGACTGGGCTCCATCAGCAGCCAGTTCTCTGCGCAGCACGCTGACAGCCACCTCCGGGCCTACAGGGCCTCGCTGCCCATCCCAGTGGCTCCAGGTGGCAGCAGCTCCTCCACCGGCCTCTTCTCCTCCTCCAGCGACACGTTGGACTCCAACACTTACGGCAGCCACGACCCATCCTCCTCCTCCGCACTAGCCAATGCTAACCTGCTGGGCAATATTATGGCGTGGTTCCATGACATGAATCCTCAAGGCATCACCCTGGTCCCCTCCACCTCCTCTGACACTGACTCCAACCTCAGCGCACTCCATGCAGGCGGAGGAGGGGGTCCGCTTGAGGAGGAGAAGAGCGGATGCATCCCGCCTGAGAACAGGAAACCTCAGGAAGTGACGGCAGAGGTGGGTTTCTGCTCTCAAAAGGAGGAGAAGGAGGGTGCCGCGGCTCAGAGGCCCACACAGTTAGATCTGGTGGGGCTGGAGACCACGCCCCCTTCTTACATGGCCACCCTCGACAAAAGCAGCGATCATACATCACGGGGAACCTCAAGGGTGGACACTCCACAGTGCGACTCTGAGCAGATGCCCAGCAGCAGCTCCTCTGAGTGGGAGGACCACCTGGTGTGAAGAGGCAGAGATGGGAAGGGGCTCTTTCGGAAAGGCCAAAAACCACTCAAGTTTGCAAATGAAGTTGAGTTGTGGAACATGTACAGTAGCTGTTCAGGTGGAATGTATACAGAATTAAGAATGTATCGGTTCACAGGAAAGTGGGGCAAGAAGTTTAGACACTCAAAAGTTGTCTAAACTTGTAAGTGCTATCCACAGGTTACCCGGTGTAACAGCCGTTACATTCAAACTACAAGTTAGAGCTGTCTCGATCCACACTCTATTCCAGTTGGTGACGTTATATCCCAGAGGGTCCACGCAATTGGTTGTTTTAGTATTTAATTTCAAGAGGAATTATTCAAATGTGCTTAACAGTGGATCTCCTTGCAGATACCTATTTTCAAAGAAATCCTTCATTTGTTTTTTTGTCTTCTTTTTGGCCAATAGGCTAGAGGTGCATGAGCCACCAGCTGGACTGCAGTGTGGATCTAAACTGAAGCATGTGCAGCAGACAGGGAGTGCATGAAGTACATGCCTTTAGGTTGGTATAGCATTGGTGTGGCATCGCTTTTCCTGCATTTACTGTATTGTCAGACCCCCAACAAGCAGCCCTTGCGAAAAGAAAGCATTAACTGAAGGAGAAATTAGATAACACTTTTCAAGGATATTTACTAAATGTTAGAAGTATAAATAACTTGCCGTTTTCTGAAACCACTTATAGAGGAGATACGAAATGTAGAGTCTTTTGCATAGTGCAGGTATTTGTAAAAGCCTAATGTATGTGTCTAAATCATGTCTGAGGGAGGTTTTCACCCCGACATAATGTAATGGCTGACTGATGTTATTCACACTCACCCTGTAACTCTGTAAAGCAGGGAGTCTTGCTCCTGTGCACACCTCCCTTTTAGGTGCCAAACACTGACTTGCAAAAGCACCGTTTGCAGTCGCCAAGTGGATTCTTCTAAACAAATTGTGCCTGCTTATTACAATCTCAACAACTAAACCTAAATGTGAAAGTCTGGAGCCATATTTGTATTTGAGATTGTGTGATATATGACCAAGTAAAAGCTGTAATAGTGTGCCGTGTTAATCTGTAGTTGAACAGCATTATAGTTGTGTACTTCATTATGTGAAACATTCACACAAAGCAATTTACATTTGTTGGTAGAGGTCTAAAAAACATTTAGGAATTGACAATGGTTGTTCATCCCAAAGCCTTATCCCTCACACTCTCTCAATGAGAAATGTCTTCAGAAACAGCTGACAGGCCCCGAGGGGTCATTCAGTTCATCCTTTGTAGCGCGCTCACATTCGTGTGAGCACTGCAGAGTGCAGCGTGACACACTGAGCAGACACTGAGAAGTCTTGTTTATACACTGCAGGAACAGCCCAGTGAGAGAGATAATCAGGCAATGTCATTCAGACTATGGTGAATTAATTAATCGCGCCCAAGTCCCTGTAATGACTCTCTGGGTCCTGTTAGTGTGATATGAGCAGAGCCTTCATAGGGTAATGCATGGAGGGTCCATGAATGTCTCCTGCACCTGGAACACGAGGAGTCCACCTTCTCTACGCAGAGACATACACAGTGCCTTTTAGTCAATCAACATTATTTTCTTTCTTTTTGAACATGTTTCCAAGTGCTAATTATTACACAGTATGTACAGTGTAGACAAACACCTGTTACCTTAAAAGTTATTTCTCTTACATACGAGAAACATGAGATCTTGATTATTTTTCTCATCTAATTATTTGTAGCATGAGCTTTTTGTTGGTTCTATTAGTATGTTAATGGGTAACACTGATTTGATATGATTTGGTATAATGGGAACGGTTAATGTTTCCAATATTGTTCAAAAAGATTTTGAAAAAATATGTTGCGCTTGTTTTTGTGCAGCAGGGCTTCTGTCCCTACATTTGAAAACAGTTGGTTTTTCTGAGATGTAGAAACTCAAACGACTACCTGTATCATGGATCTTACCTGAAGACACTAAAATGGAGGAATGTTGCAATATAAAGTAGGTATTTATTTGAAATCAGTGTAACCCATGAAAGAAAATGGATTGTGAATAACCATTGACACATGGATCAGTGTTTTCTCTTTAAGATTGAATTGTGTTTTTGTACAGACTAATGTCTGACCGAAGCAGATCAGCTGTTTTTTCCCCTAGCATACGGATAGAGCCACTAAAGGAGATCTGAAGGCAGTGATGACCAGTGTCTTGAAGTTGTGAAACTGTGAGTGCCATATAGTTAGTGAAGGTCTTTCATTGGACGTGGGTTGAAACAGAGATACTGCACGTTGGCCTCTGTGCATGAAGTGGGTACAGGTCTAATGGAGTTTGTACTTCCTTTCACCTCTAATGTTCAGGTGATTTATTTTAAAACGGCATATAGCATTTTGTAACTCACTGAGATTTTCTATTGTAAAGCAACTAATCCTTGAAATGCTATTTGCACTTTCGTAGTCTATACTTGATACATTCCCTCTTTATATGAAAAATGTTTGATGTGTGATGCCAATAAACTTTGTGTTGAGTTTGAATGTGTGCTTTGTTTTGTCATTGAGATACCTGTGGATCTGTTTCTGTCCCTTAATGGAGTTAGCTTGGTTTCCAAAAGCATCTTTCCCCTAAACTACATGATGACTGACACCTCTTCTCAACAGCTGACCATCACTGGGCCCTGTTGTGCTTTAGGGGCTTTTCCATTTCCTGTAGGTTTTTCTGCATGTTCATTGTCTGTAAAGATTGAACTAGTCTAGTTGCCAGCTCAGTCTTATTGTGAACCCGGAAATGTTAGTTAACCCCAACGTTTCATAATGGAAATGTAGTACGGGTCCCCAGAACATAGAAACTGCTGGATGCTAACTTGCTGGGCAATTTGCTCGACCATAACTTTTGTTAATTAGTATTAATTACAATTATAGCCTATGTGGACAATGGTTAAAAGATGGCTTGACCAATTTGGACAGTATTTGAGTGATTTTGCAGGTTATTGAGGATGCTGAATCAATTTTTTACATTTTCAGTATCACAAATGGCAGTTTCTACAAGAACATTTCAATATTTGTACTCTGGGCTGATTTTGGCTTACATTTTTGGTCGATTTTGAAGATTTAGGGGACTTTTGATCATTTGGATTTGACAGATTGTCTATTTATTTGAAAAAGAATAATCCACAGTAGAAATAATAATCTTGTGCTCTCTATCCAATAGTCCCAACACTACTCATGGTAATCAGAATCAGCCCACCAAGAGTACAGATGTTGCCACTCTGGTAAAACTGCCATTTTTTTATCCTGAAAATATCTCTTTTTTTTGTACACAATTGTTTACATGGGCTATAATACCATTAATTTTAATGAACGTCACTTGTGCTAATTATGCAAATTGCCTATCATATGCATGTGCTGGGGACTCATAATATACATTTCTATCATACAACTTTGGTGTACTGAACATTTCCATGTTCACTATGCTGGAAAACCCTCCAGAGTGAGTTTCTCTCAAAAATTGTGGCACAGATTATATGGGAAATAATATCATCAACAGTAGGCCTACTGGCTGAATCATTTTACTAAATAATATCATAATCAAGAGTATTGGCTGAATTGTTTGAGGTTCTTGCTAAAACACAAAACACAGAGTTGATTATGAAGCACTTTATTCATATAAAAAAATATTTGGCACATGCAATTGAAAGGTATACATGTATGCTAGTGTGGTTTTAAATTCTCAAATGTAGCACTCTGAAAAAACATTTTGCATAACATATTGCAGTTTAATAACATTAACCCTGACACAAGACAAGTAAAACAAATCTGTATCTTGGACGCATCGCAGACATCCCTGCCTATTTAAATAAGGCAGCAGATGGAAAACAGGATTGTAAATCTGCATCCTAGAAGGATATGACGTACTTGAGGATTTTTTATTGTGAGCAGGAGGAGTTCCTTTGGGAGGCCTGCCAGGCTCAGTGTCAGCGACAGAGGCCGATGAGCTGCAGCAGGAGCAGGAACAGAGACACGATGTCCAAATAGAGGTTGAGAGCGGCGAACACATACTCCTCGGGAGAGACTTCATACTTCCTGTGTTTCCCGCCCAGGATAAGCTGGGTATCAAACACCAAGTACTGCAGAGAGACAGAGAGATGCTTCAACCCTGACTTCTGAAGGCAGCGTGTTAGTGAGTCAAAAGAGAGACCGAGAGCAGGAAGCGGTCTGAAGAGAAACACGGGCAGAATCTCTTATCTTTAAGAGAGGGGGGGCTGTGCCCATAAACAGGCTATATAAATAATAGCGGAAGCTGAAAGTAAGTTGTGACTCGCTGTTGACAGCCTGTTCGGCTCTGTGTGCAGCAGCAGTTTGTTGCAGCCGCTGACACCACGGGTCACAACATTTGCTGTTAATGCCAGAGGCACGCAGAGAGGTGGCTGTGAGAATGAAGCCGACTGCTGCTAAACGCTGCATCGTCGGAATGAAAGGGCACGAGGACATCAGAGCCTCTCGTTTACACTAATGACTGTGACAGACAACGGAGGCAGGAATCAGATCATACATCTTGACATTAGCGCCTGGTTTCATGATGTTTTTCTTCTCTTAAAAATGTCATTTTCAATATGTTTTTAATTGAACCTGCATTGCTGAAAACCAAGTTATGTTGTTACACTATACTTACTAAAGAAAACAGCAGGGTTCCCAGGCAGGCGTATAAGATGTAAAGATACTGTGGAAAGAATCAGAGACAATTCAGCAATACCGTTGATTTGTGAATGTTTCTTACAAACATGGAGCAATTATCTAGTAAGAAAATAAACTCACATTTCAAATTCATATCTTAAAACATGTATTCAGCCTCTTGCTCTGTACAATAAATATGATGGTAGATGTTTGATAATGGTAACAATATAGTTGAACAAAGCAGTGTTTATTTGCTGTTCAGATTCATTTGTGGTTGTGTAAAAATAGCAGTCTAAAGTCAGTGGAATGCTTCTTCCTGTACATGTGCTGCTTAAAGCTGAGGCAGTTGAACAGCAGTGTATTGGGATGCATGAGTCTTGAGATCAGCTCCTGAGAGGTTTCAGAGTTCATGCTCTCTTCTTTATAGTCTGCTCAGCACAGGTCAGCTCCAGTACATCCTGAGGATAAGAGCTGTCTCCCTCTGACTGCATTACATTTCAAAGCTGTTCTCACTGCGAACACAGGCGTAAACACGGCAGCTTTTTTGATCTACCTGCGATCGGAGGATCCCACAAAGCAATGCAAACGAAAACAGGGTCCAGGCAAACACCCACAGACTCCCATTTAGTCCGGTGAAGTCCCACTGGGGCAGAAAGGAGGGAGGAGAGAGAGAGAGACGATGAGTGTGAGGAGCCTCTCAAACAGAAAAGAGCAGACAGAACATCTCTCATGTACACACATCAAGGTCATCTACACTGCAGCTGTGCTGCGAGGCGCCGCGGTTACCAAATGATGAAGACATTGCAGTTCAACACACACAAATATTCTGGATGTAATGATTCTGGATAATTAATCAACAAGCTGCAAGGCAGGCATAGAACAGAGTGGGGGGGTGGGGTGGTCTTTTGGCCTGCATGCCCTTCTCGGATTGACAGAAAAAAGATGGCAGCTACATCGAGAGAATCACCAACACTGATCACCTGAGGAGCCACGGGCCAGACATGCAAGTGTTTATGGCATTTAAATCGCAGCGACAGAGACCCAAAAGCTCCGGCGCCGCGTTAACTGCAGGGTGAACGTGGAGTCATAAAAAAGAGAAATAGACCAAAAGTGTTTTTGCCGAAGTGACCGCTCACTCGGCTCATAAAACATCCTGTTTTATGAGCCGGAGGGCGCGGCCACTTTTTCTATTTTTATCACAGTTTCCCCGTTTTATGCTGGCTGTTTAGACCTGATGCATACGCCTTCCTTCTCCAGATTACTAAAAGAGCTTTTAAGAGCAGATTTATTCTCAGTATAATCATTAGCCACCTGTTCCCTGCTTTGCTCCAATCTGAGCAGGAGAATTAAAAGTCTGCAGCTCCTTCAGATGCAATAAGTGTCAGCATGTGTGACATTTCAAACTCTATTTAGAGGCAATTAAGAAGGATTCTAAATGAAATTTCTTGTCCGATCTTTTGCCCTACTGCCTGTATAATAACTCTGCCGGGGTCCACTTTAATAAATCAGAGTTGTTCAAGTGTTCTTGTTTTTAGATTAGATTATTTGTGAGGGATCAGGAATGCAAGTGTATGTGTGTTAGCTTTTTTAATATTAAAATGTATCTGGCAAAAGGATCCTAATATCTACCATTGTGTCCCTGAAAGGCCCTTTTAAAGATTATTCTCAGACTGTGCATGCTTTATTAGACAGTTCGTGGTGAAAGGAGATGGAGGAGGGGGAGATTCAGCAAACAACAAAAGGCTCCCGGCCATTTCTGAACTCAAGATTTATGGCAGCGACCTCGGCCAGCATGAGGACGGCCCAGAGGTTTAACTCTGTCCCTCCAGCGGACATAAGGAATGAACGTGATTGACAATTACACTGATCTCAGCAGTAATCACAGTTTTGCCTGGAAAGCAAAGCTATTAAGAGTTTAAAAGTTTGTTGGTGACTGTGCAAACTGTGCATGAGAAAACCTGGCCAACACTTTGACTGGACAGGAAACCAACTCAGGATCCGGACATTTAGAACTGACTGGCATAGCAAGGTAGGTTATGAAATCAAATCAGGTTTTATTTATATAGCACATTTTTAAAATGATTTTTGATTGAGCCAAAGTGCTGTACATGCAAATTATAAATAACACATTACTACAGTCGCAAACAGAAGACAATAAATTACAACAGCAAATATAAAAATCAAACACAGGGAAATGTCAGGAGTCGTGCTCCGCTCTGACTAGAAGGCCAGGGAGAAGAAGTGAGTTTTTAGTGTTGATTTAAAAACCCCTAGGGTCTGGGTCGACCTCACATGGAGGGGCAGAGTGTTCCAGAGCCTGGGGCCAGCTGCTGCGAATGCTCGGTGCCCTCTGGTTTTGAGCCTGGTCTTGGGCACTACCAGCAGCAGCTGGTCAGCCGACCTTAAGTCTCTGGCTGGGGTGTAGCGATGGAGGAGTTCTGCTATAGGCCGGAGCCAGCCCATTTAGGGCTTTTAAAACAAATAAAAGGAGTTTAAAATCAATGCGGAACCGAATTGGAAGCCAGTGCAATGAGGCCATAATTGGGGTGATGTGGTGACGCTTTTTGTGGCCAGTGAGTAGACGTGCAGCTGCGTTCTGCACTAGCTGCAGGCGTCTAATTGACGCCTGGTCCATACCCACGTATAGGGCGAAATGTCACCGCAGGCTGCACTGCTGTGCTCAGTGACAGATCTCACCTTTGTCTGCATAGCAAACACAGTCAAGGAGAAGGACACCAGCGCTGTGGCCCCCACGGCCCACAGAACTGCATCTGCATTGTAGTACCTGCAGAAAGAAATATCAAACAGATGTGACGTGGGAAAATCCCCTCATAATGTCATGTCCAACGAGTCATAATGCTGTGTGGACACAGGGAGTAGGGTTCTGTTTTCTCCTAAAGAAGAAACATGTATTTCCTTTAAGAAACGTGGGATTATTTCCATTTCATAGTCTGTATTATGTGTCTGAAGTAGAGTGATGGTAGGCCCTCTGGACGTGGATTGCATAATGTATCGCCCTTTGTTCAGCTTCAGTTATGGCAAGGTCCCATAAATATGATAATCTGAATGTATTATTGATAGTCAGGTTTCAAGTGATGCCTTTGCTGTCTGAGTGACAAGCTGTGTAAATACCAGACATGTTGCAGTTGGCTGAGGTAACATGTGTTTACAACGGCAGAATGATTGGTTTTCTACAACCAAATCACAACTTCAACCGCGATGTTCTGATTGGTATTCAGCCGAATCCCAGAGAAATATGATTCCATGTGCTTTTTTAAATTTGGTAAACCAACAATGATAACATCTTATCAGGTTTGATGGCTTCATCTCTGGCTACCAACACGCTATTAGATATGGATCAAAATCAGGTTATTATTGTGCAAATGAGTCGGCATCAGGTGGGGATTCAGCATACACTCACGCTGAAATAGATCCCAGCATCAGGCCCTCTGCCACAGTCTGAGAGAGAGACAAATGGAAAGTAAATACATGGGAAAAAAACGGTGGAATAGAGCAGATGTGGCGGGGGTTTAATTTGATGCCTGGCTGGTAGCGCTTCTACTCACAAACAGACCCAGGGCGATGAAATTGAGGGGGACTTGACGACGGAGGTTGTCACAGCAGGACAGGACCAGGATGAGCACCAACACCGTCGCCCTATTTCACAGAAAAATATAGAGTATATCGTAAATGGCAAAATAAAAAGGCTGTAAACAGAAAAAAGGACTGGGTTCAATGTGTGAAACCACTGAGTGCATTATTTATGCAGTGTGGCTGGCCGTTTCCTGGATTAGGATTCAGACCGCGGGGACAGTTTGTGATTTACTTCTGAGGTTTTCCATGAGCGACATTTTCATTTGGGTAAAACTCACCCACAGGAGATTTGTAGCTGGTCAAACTGGTTAAAGCTAGAAAGTGTGCAGCGTGTAGACACTCTAACTGAATGTTTTTGTTAGCTTACATCATGACGTAGGAGAACCAGTAGTTGGCCCATGTCCATTCCCTGAGAGCGTCCCTGTGTTTCCAAAAGATAAATGGAGAGGCAGAGGGGAGTGTTTAATAGAGGCACCATTTATTTGATAGAGGCAGTACAATGATTGTATTAAATATTAACAGAGGACACAGCATTGTGCACATGGGAGCTGAACACAATTTATGAAAAGATATTACTGTAGCAGCAATCTACCACATCTATTATACAAAACCTATAAAGCTTTCAAACTACTGCAAGCTAAAATATGATGTGGCAGAAATGCCCTTTTATGCTCTACCATCTAGTCTAACCTCACATATTTATGGTGATTTGAGCAGCGCTGGGTCGTGTGCTCAAAGCTTTTTCAGGGACAACTATGGTAGTCGTGCTGCTGTGTGAAGTTGGCTGCTCTGACAGACTCCGCTCAACGTGGAATGATGGATAGGTTTCTGACATCTTTTTTTGGGGAGTAAGTCCCCTGTGTCAAAGTGTGTCTCGCACCAGTAAAGAAAGGCACAGATGATCCCGACAGTCACCAGCAGCTGAAGCATCAAGGTCAGGTAGACTTTCCTTATGAAACCTGTTCAGGAAGAAAAGAGAGACGGACAGATGCACAACACCAACATTAAAGAACCTGCCAGAGCAAAGCAGGCAGGTAAGTGTTTATGGAGTAAAGCTTCTGTTTTCCAACATCTCAACCTCTCACTTAAAATGATTTGTGGTGTGTGTGAGGTGAGGAGCTGAGGCAGAAAACGTTATTCAATTTTAGAAAACACTGCAAAGCAAATTAGGGAGTATTCCCTTCATCAGCTATGCAAACCATGCAAACTAAAACATATTGGCTTCCCTTGCTTCCTGTCCCTCCCCCTGCCCATTCCTCCCTCCCTGCAGCCCTCACCTCTTCGTATGGCGGCGTCACTGAAGCTGCTATCCTCTAAGCCCTGACTGTAGCCAGGTGGAGCTTGACCGTACTGCTGCTCGCCTCCATCCAGGCCCTGAGGATGGACCGAGTTATCGTAGGGGCCAGGAGGGGAGACCACTGCAACGTTCCCATTCCCCACCTGACATGTCCAAGCCAACAACAACAACACAGGGCAGTTCAAGCAACACTTCTACATTTGAACACATTCATGAAATAATGTGAATGTGGATCAGGAAAGGAAATCCATCATCTGTACGTAAACAAAAGTGCTTTTAGACATTTGCTTTGCTCTTGATTTTGGCTCATGCAGTCCTAAAAATTGGATATTGAATACACAATGAATGAAAATATTGCTTACATTCTCAAAATGCAATATAGTATGTAATATTGCTGTTAACCTGATAGTTTGTCCCTGTGTAAGGACTCTGCCCATGGTCGTAAGGGTTGTACGGAGGGGGGTGCGGTCCATACCCACCGTTGCTGCCGTCTTTACTCTCCATTCCACCAAAAGTAAGTAGATCTTTTCATCAATTTTGGAACAAAAGTGACACAGCAGAAATGTCAGACTTCAATAAAGTTCATGGGAGACATCCTTTTGAACATCGCCAAAACTTTCATCATGGATGTTACATTGGCAAAGGGAGCAATGTCAGTGTGGAACAAATAACTGGGTAATTACGAAATGATGCATCACACAAACACGAGAGCCATCCATGACTAACATCCATAAGTATGGCCTTAAGCCTCCATTTAATTGAGCTGTATGTATATTTAAAAGCTAAATAGGTTGTGGTTAATTGCTCTCAAAGGAAATCCGGTCATCAAGAAGGACACACAGACAGTAAACTCAGGGATCCTATCTGTACTGAACACTAACACATTCCCTTTGAGGTCCCTGCTGCTGCATTAGTCATTACAGAGAAGGCGTTGTAATTAACTACCCAATGATATGGAACTTCAGTAAAGCCTGGACTACACTGACTGTAGTAAAGAAACTGACTTACGGATTCCACTTCATGTAAATCTGCCACATTATGGTTTAATCAGTAACAGTGTCCACTTCCTGTAGTATTAGTCATTCTTAATGGTTGAGGCAGTGATAAAACAATGGCCACCTTAAACTAAATGTAGTTTGTTTATTAATTTGCTCAACCCAATTTCAAACTGGTGATATGAAGAACAAAGAGGACATTACACATATTTTCAAATATTTAAATGACATCAAGTGGACTTTGTTTCGCGATATAGCCCAAATTGCCCTCACATCATTTCTGAGATATGATGAATGAGGACCTTTGAAAGTAGGCAACCCCTCATCATTTACAATTGTACAACAAGGCATCAAGTGCCGTTTGACTTAAATAAAGTAATTACAGCTCTAATCCTGTCTAATGTGCCTTACCTCTGCTGTGACGGCCAGGCTTCTGCTCCGCTGCTCTTCCTGTTGTGTAGTTTTCCTTCAGGGCAAAGTCTACCTGCTATCAGTCGCTTCCCACGGAGACAGGACTTTAGCTTCAGGGGAAAGGATGTATCCCTCATTAGGCTCAATGGGATATTCAGATGAAGTTCTTAAAATGTCATTAAACCAACCAGGCTGGCATTTTGTCAGAGGAAATCGTATTTGTACCTTTTTCCTTCAGGAATACTGATACACAGAGGCCTTCAGAAATACTTAATACTGATGCCTTTCACACAAGGTATGTTTCTATTTCCTGTAATGATCTGTCATTAGCCCTCTATGTGTGATAAGCCTGTAACATGTCATCCTGTATTGTACAGAAATATAAATGCAGCACAATGGCAGCATGTGGATTCCTGGGCTCACGTTCCTGGCCCCTCTTGGATAAACACTGATAACAGCCTCATGTGATGCATGTAGTGTCAGAGACGGATAAATTATGGACACAATCAATCTGACCTTCATAACGGGATAATGGGTATTGAGTCACAGCGAGGAAGAAAAGCTGTAGACATACTGTACACCAATATACATGAAGTAATGTAGGTCACTACAGTCTTAGTGCTTCTCCATGGAGAATTGCCTCTGAAAGGGGTGTAATGAATACTTCATCCATGAATGAGAAACTAGCCCAGGGTGAATCCATTTAACTTTAATGTAAAAGAACCTCAACAAAATAAACATGACATTAAACATTTACATGTGATATTTTAAGCGATTATACCACAGATACTTGCATTCACTCAAGTGTTCAGGTGTTTTACTTGAGTGTTTGCATTTAATGCTTATTTCTCTATATTTCAATAGGGGAATATTGTAGATTTGACTTACTTTTGTAGCAGAACGTTATCCCCGCCCAAATTTGCATCACAAGCCCTCAGATTTATCCTGTGAATCTTATGAGGAACACAACCCGTATGTGAAGAACCACCAAACAACGATAAAACTAGTTTCACCGCGACCAGTAAAATGCTGCTTGCACCCCGATATGTATGTTTTTTTACTTAAGTAGGATTCCAGATGCAGAATCTTACCCTAAGTATTTCTACATTGTGGTGTTTTACTTGTGTAATGAATTGGAGTACTTCTTCCACCACTGACTGTACATAACAATCAGCTAGCTAACCTCTAGATGGCATTCCAGTCTCTTCTCATGTTACGGATGAGCATCCAAAGAGATTTATAGATCTTCTGTCTCATGTTCAAACACTCAGCAACTCTGCCTGGGTTTTTGATTTGAAAGAGAACAAAACTGCAGAGGACATACAAATCATTGAAAGATGATTGTGTCAGCAGTTAAAGGTGAGCTGTCAAGGTATACTTGTGCCAAAAAGTAAATTCCAATTTCTCTGGATCAATGAACAGAACAAAAGAAAATCATTTAGTATTCAGAGATTCAGAGTTTTTAATCTGGTCGCGTCGCAGTGTACAGAGACTAATCATATATATCGAGCAAACACTGGGGGGCACTAGTCTCCTGTGCTTCTGCCACTAATTGCAGTGATTTGGTTGTGACTCTCCCCCGTCTCTTGCTGCAACCTCACCAGCCAACCAGCAGGAACCAAATCCTCCAGAGAGCCCCCTTAAATCATCCGCCTCCTCATTGTAACTGCTGGATCAAATCCTTGCATTTCTCTCATCTGCATGTGGCATGTTGTTAAAACAAAAGGAAACATTGTGTTTCCTGTTTAGACAGCAATACATTAATAATAAATTAATAAACAAAAATGCAACAAATACTTGCCACATCATATTTGAAGGGAGAGACAGCGTTTTGAGTCACTGTTCACTGTTCTCTGCTGATAGGTGTGACAGTCAACACGGGCTGGATTTACACCGGCTGCTCAAATCCCATGCTCTCACCTGTTCCAGAGATCTTAGGCTGATTTGAATGGCTGGCACAACAAATAATGTCACATTTGAGCAGGCGGTTCAACTGCTGCCTGTGTTGACGCACCAATCAGTGTGGATCCTGGTGTGAGGCCACATTTAACTCGGATCTGATTGTCTCTGGCTGTCCAAACATGAGCAGCACATGAGGCTGGAGCCACATGGAGCCCAATGTGTGCAGAGCAGAGAGCAGGACGGAACATTTATATTTTATTTATAAAGCCCAATATCACAAATCAGCCAACAGGACAGATGGACTGAAGGATGGAAAAGGAAGGGAAGATAGAAAAAGGAAAAGTAAAGAACGGTCAAAAAAAGTGGAGGAAAAACAATGGAACGAAGGAAGTGAGGGATGGCAATAGATGGCAGTGGCTCAGTCAGTAGGGGCTGGGAGCCGTAGAGTCGCCGGTTCAAGTCCCCGAACAGACCGAAATATGGAGTGTGGACTGCTACTTGGAGAGGTCCCAGTTCACCTCCTGGCAAGGCACCGGACAACCCCCCACCCCCCATTGCTCCGCTGGCGCTGTACAATAGCTGCCCACTGCTCCTGGTAGTAGGATGGGTTAAACACATTTCACTGTGTGTGCTGTGTGCTCTGCATGTGATCAAAGAGGGTTTCGTCCCTCCAATTCTATAAGAAAGGAAGTATGGAAGGAAGGAATAAATGAAAACGAATGGCTGGGTGGATAGATTAAAACAAAGATGGAAGAAAGAAAGTAGAAAGAAAATGATGATGAAATAAAGGACAGGCATACAGACAGGCAGGAGAAATTAAAGGAGAAAAAAAGAAAAGTAAAATAAATAAATAAATTATGGATGCAAATAAAGAAGGGAAAGTAGTAAAGCTGTAAATTAGACGAATAATGCGAATGGAGGAAAGCCAGATAGATGGACGGATGGAGAGAGAGAGTCTGTTCCCTGTCTCGGAGCAGACTCACTGTGACAGCTCTGTTTTGTCAGACTGCTACGATGCTCTTCGGGGCGCCAGGGACTGAGGATCGCAGCGGGGAGATCTCTGGTGTCAGAGATGTAGCCATCATGCCAGGCTCTCTCCACTGCATGCAGTTGTGAATTACTCCTGCCCGGCCACTCGGGCCACAGAAGGACATGTGGAGAATTGAAATGGTAGTTTGTGTGGGGCCTCTGAGAGCCTCTGAGAGCCCCAGTGCAGGTCTGAAGGTCTGTGTCACCACATGCCTCTTCATTTCTAATTTACAACCCTCCTGAAGCTGCTAATGTAGAATCTCAGCAGCGTGTATGGCGATGGGAGAGTACGACACACTGTGAGCGCATTTGTTACTTTAAATAATGAGACAGGCTGCACAGAGTTCCACTTAATATCAGCTGGACCAGCCGTGTCAAGCAAGGAATATTACTACAGTGAAATTAAAAGTACCGACAGACAGTGTTGACTTGCTATGAGGGCCAAATCAGCTTTGCATTGGTTTGACAATGACTTGGATTATCTTGTTTTGCAAATTAGTGCCATAAAAAAGGCACAGTTGCAGTCAATTTAAGTCAATCGACAGATTTAAGTGAATAAAGGACTATTATCCATTGTTGATTTAATTTATTACACAACTATAGCAGAGAAATACATTTATTATTATGAGTGTCAAGGTTTGGATTAGTTGTGTCTAAAAGGAGAACTCCATTAGTGAATTATAAAGAAGCCTGCAGAAACTTCTTCTAAACTAATTGAACGAGGAGCTGAATTTATTGAGTATCATATTACATTGTTGCACACGTACCTAAACCACATTCATTCAACTGGCCCAGAGTTAAGTCAATATAACTATATTAAAAGGGAAATTAGGAAGTCTAATCTGACATCATTTTCGATCTGTGGAATAAATAAACGGACAGCTTCAGTTTTGAATAATTCTATTATAGTTGGAAGCCTAATTCAGAAGATGAAATTAAACACTTAGGTTAGAGATAGGAGGACTCACATAATTGGAAGAGTTCATGCTTTTTGTTCAACATCTATACATCACTTTAGGTTACTTGCAAAACCTGGTTCTCTGTTTAGAATGAGTTAGCTGTAGCAGCCAAGCTAATCCTTAACGCAAGGCTAATTAGCTAAACTGTTTTGAGGCCAGAGCGATCACTTCATAACTACGCACCAGTTGCTGGGCATGCCAGCTTGACTGCCTTTATCATAGTGGTTTTCTTTGTGTAACTCTCCGCATTTCTCCAAATATAAGCAGTATGGCATCCTTTTTACTGCCTAACATTTGTTAGTTAAGCTATATGTAGCAAAGTAACAATGCCATGCACTTGCGGTCACTTCACATTCTACGTCAGAACCGTAGACTCTAGATGGACGCCAAATCTACACTTCCTCCCACTGTACAATAAGTCAAAAACTAAATATCTTGGATAAAGAAGCCGCTTTCTTGATATTCTGAAGCCACTTTAAACCACACTGTGCAGAGGTTATCGTGGCATGGAGCCATGGTATTGACCTCCCTCAAATACACGCCCTAGACAATCAGAGGCTGAGCACGGCCACAGCTTGTTAGTGTGAAGACATTACGGCAACATTAGCACCAGGGACAATATTTGGCAAGAAAGGTGTCTTTACATACTGTCTATGGACAGAACTAGCTAGCCAAGAAAATGTGCCCCCCTAGGTCATTTGCCTCTTATCTTTTGTACTATACATTCAGCTGGACTGAAACCTTCCTTTGGAGTAGTCTGATACAATATTTACAGTTTGAAAGGTTGATAAATGAAATTTGGCGATGATTAATGGTTTTTGTGTAAATGTAATAGCAGTTAAAACAGGACCGGTCAAATGTTACCGCGAACACCAAAGTAAGGAGGGTGGAAACGAAGACAATAGGAGGGATAACTGAGAAAAAGAGTATGCTGCTTGTCTTACAGAAATAAAACATTGTGAATATTGATAGGGAGACATCCATGAACAAGAATTTAAGTTGGAAGTAGAAATACAACTTGTTCACAATGGTTACAAATCATAGCTAATGTATTCAGCTGGTTGTTGTTAAACCAATTTAGAGCTTATTGTAGTGAAGGTTAGAGGTGATACGGAGAAGACAGTGATGCCAACTCACAATTTAAAATATGCTCATATATCTTCTACAGTGTACAA